TTGTGGCAGAGCATAGTAGTTACATACTGGGACCTGAAAGATTAGGGATATATCCTTACCCTTCATTCCATCCTTTATCCTCATGTATAACATATAATCTACTCTTTTGTTTATTTCATCCTGTGCGTTTTTTTTTCTCCTAAAGTAACTTTTGCTTGTCCTTGTTGATGTTCATTGTTTCATCAAAGGGTGTGTGGAGGTCTCCAAGAACTTTATCTGTTGAGTATGTTCATTTTAACATTTTTCTCCTTGGAAGATGTAACATTATCTGTAGGCTTGGGGATTCGTTTACTCGTTACTCTTCTTTCGTTTAGAAAAATGACACGTAGAGAATAGAATAGATTTAGATTATTTCAAGGAGCAGAGGTCTATTTCCTTGAAATGGAATAGAATGTATATGTCTTTACCTGAAAACACATGTACATATTTATATATGCTCCATATGCACAAAGAACATTTGGAATCACATATAGCTCAAGAAGACCCTGAGGTGATTAGAATCAGAGGGGTCAGAGAAGGAGAAGATATTTTACTTTTTCCCTTTATACCCATTGTATTGTAATGTAATTAAAAGCTGTTTTGTGTTGTGAACTTAATGTATACATAGTTGGTAATGGCCGGGTGTGGTGGCTCATGCCTGTAATCCCAGCACTTTGGGAGGCTGAGGTGGGTGGATCACTTGAGGTCAAGAGTTCAAGACCAGTCTGGCCAACATGGTGAAACCCCATCTCTACTAACAATACAAAAATTAGCTGGGCACAGTGGTGCACATCTGTAGTCTAGCTACTCAGGTGGCTGAGGCAGGAGAATCACTTGAACCTGGGAGGCAGAGGTTGCAGTGAACCAAGATCGTGTGACTGCACTCCAGCCTAAGTGACAGAGTAAGACTCCATTTCAAAAAAAAAAAAAAAGAATTTGGTAATATCTTATGTGTCAGGACATCTATAGTAGTGTTTGAGTGCTAACGATGTGCTAGAACAGTCTACTGAATATTAGGCTCATTGATACTTTATCTTGTTTTAATATCATTCATATATAACTAATATCCAGTTTGTGCATAAGCTCTCCCTCCATTTCACTGATAAACCTTTTTAAGAGTGTAAATGGTCACAATAAGAAACTTAAAAATCAACACAACGAAATAAAGTGAGAAGTAAGTTTCCTTTAAGCCCCTCGCTTTCTTCTCCACAGTTAACTACTGTTACCGGTTTCCTGTGTATTTTCCGGAAATGTTCTATGCATATTATAATCAGCTCTATATATCTATGTCTAGATATGTATATATACACACATATATACACACACACATAAAATCGTCTATCATAATATATAATCATCCATATGTTTATGTATATATAAAATCCCCCTCCATTACCCACCTTCCACAACAACATATGGAATCAAACTATATATGCTATTCTGCAACTCATTGTTTCCCTTAAATTCAGTCAGTAAGATTTACTTTCTATTCACCTTAATGTTTTGCGGCAAGAGTGATCCTTCTAACATACTAACAGTTATGTCACTCCCCAGCCTTTGCTAAAAACTATTCATAATCTTCTTTTTCTCATGTAAAATCCACACACCGTAACATGGCATACAAAACACTGAACTGATCCCTGCCTGCTGCTTTTCCTTTTTCTGTCGAAAATGTTGAGCTTATACCCAGAGTGCTGGTCTTCCTGAAATATTTTCAGTTAGTTTCTTTCTTTCTTCCTTTCTTTCTTTCTTTCTTTCTTTCTCTCTCTCTCTCTCTCTCTCTCTCTCTCTCTCTCTCTCTCTCTTTCTTTCTTTCTTTCTTTCCCTCCCTCCCTCCCTCCCTCCCTCCCTCCCTCCCTCCCTCCCTCCCTCCCTCCCTTCCTTCCTTCCTTCCTTCCTTCCTTCCTTTCTTTCTTTCTTTCCTTTTTTTCCTTTCTTTCCTTTCTTTCTGACGGAATCTCGCTCTGTTGCCCAGGCTGGAGTGCAGTGGCATGATCTCCACTCACTGCAAGCTCTGTCTCCCGGGTTCACGCCATTCTCCTGCCTCAGCCTCCCAAGTAGCTGGGACTACAGGTGCCCGCTGCCATGCCCGGCTAAATTTTTTTTATTTTTAGTAGAGATGGGGTTTCACCATGTTAGTCAGGATGGTCTCAATCTCCTGACCTCATGATCCACCTGCCTCAGCCTCCCAAAGTGCTGCGATTATAGGCGTGAGCCACAGCGCCCGGCCATATTTTCAGTTTCTTGAGGCTTACAGCCTTTCATCTGCAAACTGCTTCCTTTTTCTCACACTTTGGGTAATTCCTGCTTTTTTTATTCTTCTTTTTAAGAAATGTGTAATCGTCCTAATATTTATGAAAGTCCACAGGTAAAACAAGATTCAAATATAAGAAGCAAAGTACAATTAAGAACTTCACCTTTTTTCACGTACATATAATGTCCAAAAGTATATATGCTTTTTTTTTTTTTTTTTTTTTTGAGACGGAGTCTCGCTCTGTCCCCCAGGCTGGAGTGTTGTGGCCAGATCTCGGCTCACTGCAAGCTCCGCCTCCCGGGTTCCCGCCATTCTCCTGCCTCAGCCTCCCGAGTAGCTGGGACTACAGGCACCCGCCACCTCGCCCGGCTAGTTTTTTTTGTATTTTTTAGTAGAGACGGGGTTTCACCGGGTTAGCCAGGATGGTCTCGATCTCCTGACCTCGTGATCCGCCCGTCTCGGCCTCCCAAAGTGCTGGGATTACAGGCTTGAGCCACCGCGCCCGGCCTATATGCTTTTAAAAAATGTGATTCTACTAGCTTTTTCCCTCCACCTCAATAAGATTATTATAGGATTTATTTTTAATTTTTAATTAAGTTCCAGGTTATACAAGTAGTTTAAAATAATCAGTTCTACAAAGTTTGTTAAGAAAAACAGTAGTCCAGGTTCTGGTTCCAGATGAGATGGAGTCAGCGCACTTCACTCTGTCTCTTCCACTGAATGCAGCTAAAAACCTGGGCAAAATTCTTGGAGTGGCTATTTGAGGCCTCTGAAAAGTAAATTGTGGGAGACAGACTGGAGAAGAAGACCAGAATTCAAAATACCATTGAACCAGCAGTGAGTTTACCATTTTTTTCTTCCAGTATGCCCCAGCCTGAACTTAATGTGTCCTGCAACTTGGAAGTGAGCATTGACATGGACAGAAAATGCATCGAGAGAAGTCTTCTAGTTCTGACTCGAGGAGGAGGAAAGGGGTCTCCTAATGCCCAGAGAAAGCATGGAAATCCTACATCTTTCTCTCTTTTTATTTATTCTCTTACACCCAGGCCTCAAACAATCCTTGACAGTGGACTCAATGGGGGCAGGCAAAAGCCTAAAATAGAGGGAGAGGATCCTTCTTCTCAGATTGGAGGAGCTATGGTCTGAAAAGAGTTGGGCAAATCCCCACTGTTTTTTTTCTCCCTCTGCTGTTCTGTTGCTTGGCCTTGCCTGATGTGAGCACAGTCATGGGAAGTACTCTGCAGAGTGGTGTTAATAAAGCCCCAGAGTTCTGCTGGGAAACTGGAAAAGGGGAGCCCCAGTGAAATGAAAGATTGTAGATGAGGGAGGAACTTGGGAAACTGACCACCTAAAGTTGCTTTTGGACTCCTGAGCTGACCTCCAGTCTGTGCATGCATGGGTCCAATCCTAAACAGCACATACGAACTTTGAGAACTGAATTATGGGATAGACCATTGCCCACATCCCAAACTGGAAACTACATGGAGTACTTATGGAACACGTTAAATATAACTGCAAAGGCTTTGAAAACTGAATTGACATTAGAAATACAACCTACAGAAGGCTGGTCAGAACTTGAAGCATGAACTCAACTGGGTCAATTACTGGCTAAAGCAAAAATACCAACATTCTTGGTGGGACTTGAATAAGACCTAGAGTCTCATAACATAATGTTCAAAACGTCCAGAATACAACCTGGAATCACTCAGCTTAGAAAGAATCAGACAGATCTCAACTTATATAGAAAAAGGTAGATGCCAGTGCCGGGATCATACAGATGTTAAAATTACGTTTAAAGGACTAAATCAGCTATTATGACATTGCTCCAAGAATGAGCAGGAAGATAGACAATCTTAGCAAGGGAATAGAAGACGTAAAGAACAACTAAATAGAACATTTAGACCCAAGATGTACAATAACAGACATAAAAAACTCACTGAATGGGCTCAGTAACAGAATGGACATGATAGGTGAAAGATTCAGTGAACTTGAAAACAGATCAATAGAAATGATCTAATCTGAACAACCAGGGAAAACCATGTAAAAATATAAACAGAGCCTCAGTGACCTATGAGATAATATCAAAATATCTAACATTTGTGTCATCAGCAATCCAGAATGAGACTTGAGTTTGGTGCAGCAAAGATATATAAATAAATAATGACATACAGACAGAAAAGGAGGAAATAAAATTGTTCCTGTTTGTGGATGACATGATTGTCTATAAAGAAAATCCCAAGAATTGTAAAAACTTCCTAGAATAAGTGAGTTTAGCAAGCGATACAAGATCAGGCCACAAAAAGCAACCATATTTCTGTGTACTAGCAATGAACAATTGAGAACTGAATTTTAAAAAATTTTAATAGCTCCAAAAAAAAAAAAGACATATGTAGGGTGTAAATATAACAAAATATATGCAGGATCTGGGCTGGACGCAGTGGCTGATGCCTGTAATCCCACTTTGGGAGGCTGAGATGGGCGGATCACCTGAAGTCAGGAGTTCGAGACCAGCCTGACCAACATGGAGAAACCCCATCTCTACTAAAAATACAAAATTAGCCAGGCATGGTGGTGCATGCCTGTAATCCCAGCTACTCCGGAGGCTGAGGCAGGATAATCGCTTGAAAGTGGGAGGTGGAGGTTGTGGTGAGCTGAGATTGCGCCACTGCACTCCAGCCTGGGCAATAAGAGTGAAACTCTGTCTCAAAAAAAAAAAAAAAAAAAAAAAAAAAAGGGTATATGTATATATTCTGTATGCTGAAAACTATAAAAACCTGATTAAAGAAATAAAAGAAGATTTAAATAAATGGAGAGGCATACCATATTCATTAATTGGAAGGTTCATTAATGGAAGGTTCATTAATTGGAAGATATTGATTCTCCCCAAATTGATCTATAGATTTAATGAAATAATAATAAAAATCCCAGCAGTACTTTTTGTAGTTATAGAGAAGCTGATTCTAAAGTTAAGATAGAAAAGCAAAGGCTCTAGAGTAGCCAAAACAATGTTGAAAAAGGATAATAATGTTGGGGAAAAAAATCAAATCACGTAGATAATAGATTTTTAAGTGTTCTTATTAAAAATGTGTTTGTGAGGCATGTTATTTGAGCCATTCCATCGTGTATACGTGTCTTCAAAACATGTTTATACAATAAAAATGTGTAATTTCTGTCAGTTAAAAAATACATAGTGAGACCTCCATCTCTACAAACTAAGAAAAAAAAAAAAAAAAAAATTGACTGCGTTTTGAGTCTCGGGACCCCTGTCGGAGAGACTATGGCGCTCAACAAGAATCACTCGGAGGGCGGCGGAGTGATCGTCAACAACACCGAGAGCATCCTAATGTCCTATGATCATGTGGAACTCACATTCAATGACATGAAGAACGTGCCAGAAGCCTTCAAAGGGACCAAGAAAGGCACCGTCTACCTTACCCCTTACCGGGTCATCTTTCTGTCCAAGGGCAAGGATGCCATGCAATCCTTCATGATGCCATTTTATCTCATGAAAGACTGTGAGATCAAGCAGCCTGTATTTGGTGCAAACTACATCAAGGGAATAGTGAAGGCGGAAGCGGGAGGTGGCTGGGAAGGCTCTGCTTCCTACAAGTTGACTTTCACGGCAGGGGGCGCCATTGAGTTTGGACAGCGGATGCTCCAGGTGGCATCTCAAGAGTTCTATCCAGGACCCCCCATGATGGACGGGGCCATGGGATACGTGCAGCCCCCACCACCGCCCTATCCTGGACCCATGGAACCTCCGGTCAGCGGCCCCGATGTCCCCTCCACTCCTGCAGCCGAAGCCAAGGCCGCAGAAGCAGCCGCCAGCGCCTACTACAACCCAGGCAACCCTCACAACGTCTACATGCCCACGAGCCAGCCGCCACCACCTCCCTACTACCCACCGGAAGATAAGAAGACCCAGTAGGCCCTCCTGCCTCCCTGCCTCCCACCTTTATCTCTGTACCCTACCCCTCCCATCGGGGCTGCACTGGGGCTGGGGGAGGGGGCGCCTTGTTCTCCCTCCAGGTCTGATCATAAACAATTACTAGGAACTAGCATTGTGGGACATTAGGGCCCCCGGCCTCAGGAGAGGTGCCGCCCAGCTTCCCATGCCAGCCCAGAGCCCACAACGCTGCCCAGTGTGCCTCACTCACTATCTGGGGCTCTCCTGGGAGCACGGGGCATCCCCTGTTCCTGTTTCACTCTCAGCTTCTCCCCTCGAAGGGACTCTCTGGCCACCTCCTCCACCGCAGTCCAGCTCCCTCAGTCTGGCAGCCACTGCTACACTCAGCCTCATGAGCCACTTCAGACCAGCCAGGTGTCTTCCCCGGCCCTGCCAGGCCCTGCTCACATTCCCTCCGCTGGTCTATGCTGGTCTCAGAAGGCCACCGTGTCCGCATTCCACTCAGCCAGGGTCCAACTGCAGCCCTGCCACTGTCCTTCCCTTCCTTGTCCTGGGTCATGCTGTTGCCACCCCGTGTGACTTTTGAAGCTGTAAAATGAGCTTTCAGGGCTTGGGTGGCGTCGGGGCAGGGCCGCCGAGGCTGGGAGGAAGTGCTTCTGCCTTTCACTGGTGTTTCTGGAATTTGCTTTCCCTCACCTCTCACTTCCCTCTAGAAGGAGCTTCCTGATTGGAACCAGAGAATGCATGTCTGTCCACTTTTGGGCTGCTGGGTGGGGCTGGAAACAAGTGCCGCTGACCCTTCGTGCCGGCCGGGACCTGCCACTAGCCCCCCAGCCTGCTTCTTCCCCGTAAGCTTCGTGCCCCTGGATGCGCTAACATTCGCTCTTGTTTGTTCCTGGACTGGCCATGAAGTGAGGAGATGGTTATCTAAAGAGAATTCCCTATTTATTTGACAAAAAATCCAGTTAATATATTAATGTGAAATAAACCCTGTTTGCACCTTGAAAAAAAAAAAAAAAAATTGACTCAACATGGTGGTACATGGCTGTAGTCCCCTGCTGCTTGGGAGGCTGAAATAGGAGGATTGCCAGAGCCCAGGAATTTGAGTGCACTATGATTGTGCCACCATATTCCAGCCTCGGTGACAAAGTGAGATCCTGTCTAAAAATATAAAATATAAGCAAAGAAACAAACTATATGGTTTTAAAACAGAACTAGGATAATGAAGACTGTAGTACTGGCAAAGGGATAGACATATAGATCAAGTGGAGTAAAATAGAGATTTTGGACATAGGCTGACCCATACAAAGAAGGCCAGTAATAATCTACAAAGTCGCAAAGGTGATTCAATGGAAAACGAATGGTCTTGGTGCTGGAGCTATCAGGCATCCTTTTACAAAAGTAATGAACCTCCACCGAAAGTACACACATTATACAAAAATTTACTGAAGATATACCGCACATCGAAATGTGAGATAGAAGGCTGTATAACTTTTAGAAGAAAACATGGAGAAGATCTTTGTAACTTAAGTTTAGGCAAGAAGCTTGTCAAATGATGACAAAAGCATGATTCATAAAATAAAAAAATTGATAATTTGGATTTCATTAAATTAAAAACTTTGCTTGCAAAAGACGTTATGAAAAGAATGAAAAGACAAGTTACAGAGTGGAAGAAAAATATTTGTGAATCACCTGCAAAGGACTTTTCAGAATATATAAAGCACTCTGAAAACTCAACAATAAGAAAACAAACAATTAAAAATATTTAATAAGCTTTTACAGGTACTTCAAAGAAGATATAGAGTGTTAAATCAGTTGCTGAAAAGATGTTTAGCATAACTAAACATTAGGAGAATGCACAGTGAGATATCACTGCACACCACTAGAATGGCTGGAACTATACTTGAACCCGGGAGGTGGAGGCTGTGGTGAGCTGAGGTTGAGGTGACTGGCTGCAACTGGGGCTCCCTTGATTCCCCTCTCCTTGGGTTTGGTTAACGTGCTAGGATGGCTCACAGAACTCAGGGAAACATGTTTACTGGTTTATTAAGGATATTGCAAAGGATACAGATGAACAGCTGGATGAAGAGATGGATAAGGGTGAGGTGTGGGGGAGTGGGGAGCTTCTGTCTCCTCTCTGGGTAGGCCACTCCCCCAGCACTTCCATTTATTCAGCAAACCAGAAGCTCACACATCTCATTGTTCAAGAGTCTTTATAGAACTTAATCTTCAGCCCTCCCACTCACCTTTCCTGGAGGTTGGTGGGTGAGGCTGAAAGTTCAGTCCTCTCTTCTAAGCACTTCGTCTTTCTGGTGACTGGCCCCGTCCTGATTATATAGGGCTTCCCCCAAGTTACTGGATTAACATAAACTCAGGTGTTATCAAAAGAGTCATAAATAACAAAGACATTTCTATCAGAAAATTCCACAAGTTTTAGAAACCAGGTGACAAGTATCAGGGACAGAGACTAAATGTATTTCATATTATAGTTGGCTGTTCCTGTCAGTGGGTTCCACATCCATGCATTCCACATCTGTGGATGCAACCAACCACAGATTGAAAAATATTAGGAAAAAGGCTGGGCACGGTGGCTCATACCTGTAATCTCAGCACTTTGGGAGGCTGAGGTGGGGGGATTGTTTGAGGTCAGGAGTTCGAGATCAGCCTGGCTATCAGCCTGTGTCTACTAAAAATACAAAAATTAGCCGGGCATGGTGGTGCACGCCTGTAATCCCAGCTTCTTGGGAGGCTGAGGTATGAGAAGTGCTTGAACCCTGGAGGCAGAGTTGCAGTGAGATGAGATCGCTCCACTGCACTCCAGCCTGGGTGACAGAGCAAAGTCTGTCTCAAAAATAAATTAAATAAATAAATAAATAAATAAAAATTAGGAAAAAAATATTGCATCTGTACTAAAGATGTATAGACTTTTTTTTCCCCTGTTATTATTTCCTAAACAATCAGTATGGCAACGATTTACATGGCATTTACATTGTATTAGGTATCATAGGTAATCTAGAGATTATTTAAAATACAGTCATGCATCACACAACAGCGTTTTGTTCAGTGATAGACAGTGGTCCCATAAGATTATAATGCTATGTTTTTAGTGTACCTTTTCCACATTTAGGTACATAAATACTTAGCGTTGTGTTATAACTGTCTATGGTATGCAGTATAGTAACATGCCATACAGGTTTGTAGTCTAGGAGCAATAGGCTATACTGTATAGCCTAGGCATGTAATAGGCTATTCCATCTAGGTTTTTGTGAGCACACCCTATGATGTTCACACAGTGACTAAATCACCTAAGGATGCATTTCTGAGAACATACCCCTGTTGTTAAGCAAAGCCTGACTGTATATGGGAGGATATGCATAGGTTACATGGAAAATAGTACCCTATTTTAATTTTATTTTATTTTATTTTATTTTATTTTATTTTATTTTATTTTAT